TGCAGAGACAGCCTTCAGTGGGTGGGTAACAGGACTGACTGTTCTCTGGGGAGTATGTTGGGTGTGGAGGGGTATGGCTTTAGTCAGGAGGGTGAGAGGACAGGTGAGGAGACCAGAGTCCACCAAAGGCAGGGCTGTTTGCTCTCTGGCCTGTTACCGAGGAACCAGGCCTCTGTAAACTGTAGCCAGAAAGAAGGTAGAGGTTGGCCACCCACCCTGCGGGGCTGGGTGTGGGTGAGGTGTGGTCAGTAGAGAGTCAGGGAGGAAGGGAACTGGTCTTAACAGGTGCCAGCACGGAAGTGGGTCCTCTCACCCTTCCTCAGATTGTCTTGCCAACCTTTGCTCCAGGGCAGCCCCACGGCACTGGCTCTGAACCCTGAGCTCATATCAGTTCCCCACAAAGTCTGAGTAAAGCCTGCCACCAGCCTGCCCTCCTCCAGCTCCCCACACCTCGCTCTCTCACCAGGATTTTGGGGCGCCTGTCATCACTGCCTTGGGTTTGCTTTGAAGCCAACAGAAGGTGACTGCAGCAAGGGCAGGTCCCCGCTGCTCCCCTCAGCAGTGCATTTCAGTCTGTTCTGCTCCCTACTCTGTCTCTAGGGGGTCCTCTCATCCCCCCACCTCTGGCCTACACCCAGCTCTTGTATGTATCCAAGCTTACACCCTTTTCATTGATTTTATTCTTCAAAAGCATTTAGAATCTCATTCAGAGGCTGGAGCTTTATTTCTAAAAGGGCCTAAGAAGAACTTTAGAGAAAATGTTCATAACAGGGAGATCAGTCATCTGAAGTGAGTCACCTAAGACAGATCCTGTAAATGTTGGGGGATATTGGGGAACTCCCAGCTAGCTGAGGACTCAGTGACTTGGGCTCTGGTTAGGGGATCTGGATTCCAAGAATTCGCATTTCAAACTAATAACCCAGGTGACTCTCACTCAGAGGATTCCAATCACCCTGGGGGAAATACACTTCTAACCTGAGAGGTTCCGGAAGGTGAAGTGTAGCGCTAAGGACTAGAACTGAAAAAAGAAAGGAAATGTTCCAGGGCACCCTGATGTGAACTGGGCTGGCCTGATTGGGGGTCCTCACCCATGCGCTTAAAGGGACTTACAATGGACTCAACCAGGCACACACCAAAAACGCTAATAAAGGATCTAATTACAAAGGGGAAATGCAGACATGAGTAACTCAGGGAGAAAGAGAGAGGTAAACTGGGACTATTTTGCTGACCTGGAATCCCAACAGCACGCAGAGAACCAGTGAAAAACCAAGGCCCCCAAGGCCCCCAGGTCTGGTTCTGTATCAAGCCTGGCTGCTTCACCCCACCCTCAGTTCCCGGCATCCTCCCTCCGGTGGTGACAGCATTATGGGATCTGTAGTCCTTGGTGTCCTGGTTCTCTTTGGTCTGGGGTGGGGGTGGGGTCCATAAACCTATTTGTGGAGTTTGTCCGGGCCGCCCTTTCTCCCCAACAGAAACATGCACCTGGAGTGCAGGTGGAGTGTAAGGTGGTGGCCGCTGTGGAAAAGCCCTGGCTGGCTCCTCAAATCTTTAGGTGCTGAAACTACTGTACCCCACTTTACAAATGCAAGAGCAGGAACAGGGACTCGTGTGACTACCTGTCCACTACCTGTCCACACGTGTCACAGCTGCGCCATTCACGACAGCCCCGACGTCAGACAACCGCATGCCCATCGGTGTGTGGAAGGATGATCAAAATGTGGGTCCCTGCCGTGAAATGTCCTCAGCCAGGACTGGGGAGAAAGCACCGCCTGCTGCCACAATGGGGAACCCTGAAACGAGTGTCCAGCAACGCAAGGTGACGCGGTGTGAAGCTACTTCGACGACGTGTGCTGGACGGTGGATCCCGAGAGACAGCAACTGCTGCGTGGGCGTGGGGTTACCTTTTGGGGTGGTGGAAGTGTTTCTGGTGGTGCATAGTGTCATGCATGTCTTCAGTGCTACTGATTTAGTCACACAGATAACTGTGTCTTCTATACATTTCACCCTACCAAGTGGAGAAAGGGGGAGCAAAAAATGGGGATAGGTGCCAAGGATCAAGCAGTGGGCAGGGCTGCCCAGCACCGTCCAGGGAAAAGGATCCTCTGAGGGACAGGGACAGGGACGTCTGCGAGCTCCCCACCTGTCCTGGGGAGATGTCTCTCCTGACTCTCCAATGTCCTCTGCTCTACTCTACTCAGCCAGCGGCCCTCTGATTACCATCATGGTCTCCTAGGCAGGTCAGTGCTAAAAACAGTGTCTGAGAAGCCGGGAATGGCTGTTTGGGTCAAGAGTCAGGTGGACCCCCCCCCCCAAGGTCTCCCTGGCCTTGGTGAGGCGGGGACTGCTACCTGGGGCAGCCAACCTCCAGCAGGTGCCGGTGGTGGGCTCTGGGATTCAGCAATGGACATGATGATAGTCCCCGCCCTCAGGAGGCTTACTCTCTAATCTTCAAATCACACACGGATCAGCCAGCTGAGGGGCCACAAGGCAGGCTCAGCGAGTGGCCGCTCTGCTCACTAATCCAGGTGAGGCGTTGGTGACCACTGCTAAGAACTCATCTTCCTCCAGCTGCAGCGATGGCTGCCTCCTCCCTCAGACTTGCTGCGACCTCTTGACCTTCCATAGCAACAAAAGCCACCCAACACCTCTG